TTTTCAATTCGACTTTTAATAGCAGAAATAACGCTGTGTAAGCATTTGAGTGAATATTCTGTAAGCAACTAACCATTAATCTTTTCTGTTGGAAAATGTTTCTTTGGAATTTCACTCGGTCTTTGTTGAATCTTTAAATGAGTCAACAAAGAACATACTTTTGCATTGCTTAATTAAGTTTTACTTTAATTAAGTTTGAGGTACAAACGAAGAAAGAAGCCAATTGTGCGATCCAGGATGTCTGCCTTATAATTCGATGTAACGTTGAAAAATGCAATTGTACACACCAGCAATCGTCGTGGTGCGATGTGAAACAATTGCATTTTTAATCAGGATCCTTAGAATTTTTAGGGCTGTTATTGTTATGCTTTGTCAACAACGTTTGATAAGACAAACTTTGTTGTAAATTTATACTATTTCTGACGCCAAAACTTGTAACAATAAGTATATATTTGTCGTTATTTGTCCGAACAGATTTGCAGGTTGTCTGAGTAATTACGTGACTCAGATCAAAAATTACTCTAGCCAATTATAGAAAATGTTATCAGTTGTCGCTTATCAGATAAAAGGTCGGAACGCTAAAAAAATTCGTCGTACAACAAATGTAATAGCTCTATTAATTTTTGTTTAGGTTATACGAATGGATATCTTTTAGTCGACTTTTTGCTTTGTCAAAAAGATAACTATAGAATGATGACGAAAAGATGTCTTTTTAAAGTTGTCTTTTGGATGAAAGTAAAAGAAATAAATGTCTTTTAGATATTTTTTTGCTTAGGCGAAAAGACATCTTGAAAAAGACATCTTTTTGTCATCTTTTAGTGTTTTGTGCTGTCTGGGTAATAATTAATAAAAATATGATGTGAATACGTCGTAAAATGGATACTGTCGCGTCACGGGCGTTCCGCGTAGCTGATATACTCGTATATGAGGAGTCGGGAATGGAGGATGGTGTTAACGAACTATATAAGACGTGTATGGTTTAAACGAACTTATACAAAACTTTTATTGAGCACACTATCACATATATAAGGCTTACAAAGACTTTAATATGGAGAATCGCCGTTAAATTGACAA